GGTACACTATGCGTGCAAGCTACTGTGAGACCAGATATGAGTGGCAGCAATGTGCACTGAAAATGGCACAGTTGGTATGACACAGGCTGGCAAGAGCTGACACCAGCTTGAAGATAACTAACTGCTATTCAATCTATAACAGTGAAAAAAGTGTTTTTTGTTTTTAAATACAAGCTTTGTGTCACCAGATCTAAGAGGTGGCACTGGTCACCGTATCCACTGTTAGCGTAACACACCCGCTTTAAGGACCCTGACTGCTATTCAATCTATAACAGTGAAAAAAGTGTTTTTTTTTTTTTAAATATAAGCTTTGTGTCACCAGATTTAAGTGTTGGCACTGGTCACCGTATCCACTGTTAGCGTAACACACCCGCTTTAAGGACACTGACTGCTATTCAATCTATAACAGTGAAAAAAGTGTTTTTTGTTTTTAAATACAAGCTTTGTGTCACCAGATCTAAGAGGTGGCACTGGTCACCGTATCCACTGTTAGCGTAACACACCCGCTTTAAGGACCCTGACTGCTATTCAATCTATAACAGTGAAAAAAGTGTTTTTTTTTTTTTAAATATAAGCTTTGTGTCACCAGATTTAAGTGTTGGCACTGGTCACCGTATCCACTGTTAGCGTAACACACACACACCAGCACCCCAAGGACACTGACTGCTATTCAATCATAACGGTGAAAAGTTTTTTTTTTTTTTAAATACAAGCTTTTGTGTCACCAGATCTAAGTGGTGGCTTGTGGTCACCCGTGTATCCACTGTTAAGCGTAACACACCAGCTGGGACACTGAGCTGCTATTATTCAATCTATAACAGTGAAAAGTGTTTTTGTTTTTAAATCCAAGCTTTGTGTCCTGCCTTGAGATCTAGAGTGGTGAAAGCGTAGTCGCGTATCCACTGTTAGCGTAACACACCCGCTTTAAGGACACTGACTGCTATTCAATCTATAACAGTGAAAAAAGTTTTTTGTTTTTAAATCCAAGCTTTGTGTCACCAGATCTAAGTGGTGGCACTGGTCGCCGTATCCACTGTTAGCGTAACACACCCGCTTTAAGGACACTGACTGCTATTCAATCTATAACAGTGAAAAAAGTGGGTTTTTTTAAATCCAAGCTATTGTGTCACCAGATGTAAGTGGTGGCACTGGTCACCGTATCCACTGTTAGCGTAACACACCCGCTTTAAGGACACTGACTGCTATTCAATCTATAACAGTGAAAGTAGTTTTTTGTTTTTAAATGCAAGCTATTATGACACCAGTGAGTGGTGGCACTGGTCACCGTATCCACTGTTAGCGTAACACACCCGCTTTAAGGACACTGACTGCTATTCAATCTATAACAGTGAAAAAAGTGTTTTTGTTTTTTAAAATACAAGCTTTGTGTCACCAGATCTAAGTGGTGGCACTGGTCACCGTATCCACTGTTAGCGTAACACACCCGCTTTAAGGACACTGACTGCTATTCAATCTATAACAGTGAAAAAAGTGTTTTTGTTTTTTTAAATACAAGCTTTGTGTCACCAGATCTAAGTGGTGGCAATGGTCACCATATCCACTGTTAGCGTGACACACCCGCTTTAAGGACACTGACTGCTATTCAATCTATAACAGTGAAAAAAGTGTTTTGTTTTTTTTAAATACAAGCTTTGTGTCACCAGATCTAAGTGGTGGCAATGGTCACCGTATCCACTGTTAGCGTAACACACCCGCTTTAAGGACACTGACTGCTATTCAATCTATAACAGTGAAAAAGTGTTTTTTTTTTTAAATCCAAGCTATTGTGACACCAGATATAAGTGGTGGCACTGGTCACCGTATCCACTGTTAGCGTAACACACCTGCTTGAAGATAACTAACTGCTATTCAATCTATAACAGTGAAAAGTTTTTTGTTTTTAAATCCAAGCTATTGTGACACCAGATCTAAGTGGTGGCACTGGTCACCGTATCCACTGTTAGCGTAACACACCTGCTTGAAGATAACTAACTGCTATTCAATCTATAACAGTGAAAAAAGTGTTTTTGTTTTTAAATCCAAGCTTTGTGTCACCAGATCTAAGTGGTGGCACTGGTCACCGTATCCACTGTTAGCGTAACACACCCGCTTTAAGGACACTGACTGCTATTCAATCTATAACAGTGAAAAAGTGTTTTTTGTTTTTAAATACAAGCTTTGAGTCACCAGATCTAAGTGGTGGCACTGGTCACCGTATCCACTGTTAGCGTAACACACCCGCTTTAAGGACACTGACTGCTATTCATTCTATAACAGTGAAAAAAGTGTTTTTTGTTTTTAAATACAAGCTTTGTGTCACCAGATCTAAGTGGTGGCACTGGTCACCGTATCCACTGTTAGCGTAACACACCCGCTTTAAGGACACTGACTGCTATTCAATCTATAACAGTGAAAAAAGTGGGGTTTTTTTAAATCCAAGCTATTGTGACACCAGATCTAAGTGGTGGCACTGGTCACCGTATCCACTGTTAGCTAACACACCCGCTTTAAGGACACTGACTGCTATTCAATCTATAACAGTGAAAAAAAGTGTTTGTTTTTTTTTAAATACAAGCTTTGTGTCACCAGATCTAAGTGGTGGCACTGGTCACCGTATCCACTGTTAGCGTAACACACCCGCTTTAAGGACACTGACTGCTATTCAATCTATACCAGTGAAAAAAGTGTTTTGTTTTTTTAAATCCAAGCTTTGTGTCACCAGATCTAAGTGGTGGCAATGGGCACAGTATGCACTGTGAGCCTGACACAGAAGTTGGCAGCAGTGGCAGACAACTGACTGCTATTCAATCTATAACAGTGAAAAAAGTTTTTTGTTTTTAAATCCAAGCTATTGTGACACCAGATGTAATTGGTGGCACTGACTGGGGAAATGGGCACTGTGAGCCTGACACAGTAGCTGGCAGCAGTGGCAGACAACTAAGTGCATTTACATTAGATAGAAAAAAAAAATCCAAAAAAAGCATACCCTTATCCCTAACCTAGCTATGCTTTTCCCTATTTTATGAACAGCAGCTACACTTTCCCTCCTCTTACTAAGCATGCAGCTTGAGAATGAATCTAAAATGGATGCCTTCCAGGAGGTGGGAGGGTCTGCTAGGGAGGGTGTGCTGCTAATTGGCTGGAATGTGTCTGCTGACTGTGAGGTACAGGGTCAAAGTTTACTCAATGATGACGAATAGGGGGCTGGTCGAACCGCGCATATGTTCGCCTGACGTGGCGAACGCGAACATGCTATGTTCGCCAGGAACCGTTCGCCGGCGAACCGTTCGGTACATCACTACTTGCTGGCAGGTTTCTCTGGGTGTTAGAGGCTCCTTAGCGTATTATACGTTCTGGCTCCTATAACTGTTAGGAAAACAGCGACCTGTTTATTGTCAGGAATCTCATTAGCTGTGAAATATTGTTTCAGCCTTTCAACCCAAGAGGCCCATGAATCCGAATCAGGATCAAAGTCCTTTATAGTGCCAATGGCTGCCATGTCAGTTAGGGTTCTACATCCTTGTCACCACTGTGATGTTTTGTACAAATCAGCCAATAATTCCTGTATAACGAAGTACTCACTTTATTAATACATATATATACATATATAACAGCATCTTCATATTGCAGCCTTGTTACACAGGGTTTCTGCAGCCGCCATTTCAAATCCCCGGAACATTCCACCAACTGCCAACAGGAACAGGAAGTAAAGAACCAAAAGAAAGGAAGTGCATCATTCACAGCCAACAATAGCCCAACTGCCCAATGCCCATACATCACAATACATACACTCATACACTCACACACTCACACACAGCCCAACCGCCCATACATCACAGTGTCTGTGTCCGTGTGTATGACTGTCTGCCTGTGTGTGTGGCTGTCTGTGTGTGTGGCTGTCTGTCTGTGTGCATGACTGTCTTCCTGTGTGTGTGTGTGTGTGTGTCTGTCTGTCTGTCTGTGTGTTTAACTGTCTGCCTGTGTGTGTCTTTGTGACTGTCTGCCTGTGTGTGTGACTGTGTGTGTGTATCTGTGTGTATGAGTGTATGTCTGTGTGTGACTGTCTGCCTGTGTGTGTGTCTGTGTGTATGACTGTCTGCATGTGTGTGTGTGTCTGGTGTTTGTCTGCCTGTGTGTGTCTATGTGACTGTCTGCATGTGTGTGTTTGTGTGTGTGACTGTCTGCCTGTGTGTGTCTGTGTGTATGACTGTCTGCCTCTGTGTGTGTGTGTGTGTGGGTGGCTGTCTGTCTGTGTGTTTGACTGTCTGCCCGTGTGTGTTTATGTGACTGTCTGTGTGTGTGTATGTGTGTGTGACTGTCTGCATGTGTGTGTGTGTGTGTCTGTGTGTGTGTGTGACTGTCTGCCTGTGTGTGTGTCTGTGTGTATGACTGTCTCCTGTGTGTGTGTCTGTCTGTGTGTGTGACTGTCTGCCTTTGTGTGTATGTGTGTGTGTGTGGCTGTCTGTCTGCCTGTGTGTGTCTTTGTGACTGTCTGCCTGTGTGTGTGTGTGTGTGTCTGTGTGTATGACTGTCTGCCTGTGTGTGTGTGTGTGTGTGGCTGTCTGTGTGTATGACTGTCTGCCTGTGTGTGTGTGTGTGTGTGTGTGTGTGTGAGACCGTCTGCCTAATGTGTGACTGTCTGCCCTGTGTGTGTGTGTGTGTGTGTGACTGTCTGCCTGTGTGTGTGTATGTGTGACTGTCTGCCTGTGTGTGTGTGATGACTGTCTGCCTGTGTGTGACTGTCTGCCTGTGTGTGTGTGTGTGGTGTCTGCCTGTGTGTATGTGTGTGGCTGTCTGTGTGTGTGTGTGTGTGTGTGTGCTGTCTGCCTGTTTGTGGCTGTCTGTGTGTGTGTGTGTGTGTGTGTGTGGCTGTCTGTCTGTGTGTGGCTGTCTGTGTGTGTGTGTGTGTGTGTGTGTGTGACTGTCTGCATGTAAGTGTTTGTGTGTGTGTGTGAGATTGCGGGTGTGGCTGTATGTATGTTACTGTCTGTCTGTACCTGTGTGTGTGTGTGTGACTGTCTGCCTGTAATTGTGTATGTGTGTGACTGCCTGTACCTGTGTGTTTCTGCCTGATCCTGTGTATGTGGAGGGGCAGACCAGAGTCAGATCAGCATGCCCGTCTCCCAACTAGGTAACAACAGGAAAGGAGGAATGGATATTTGTTTTTTAATCATTATTAATTTAATAAATCCCCTATACAATCAGTACACACACACACTGTACATGGATGACGGGGGAGTGGGGCGCTGTGAAGATTTTTCGCACAGGGCGCCTTAAGGCCTAAGGCACACACATTACCCTCACACACACTTTACCCTCACATACACAGCACCCTCACACACACACACACACACATTTCACCCCTCACACTCACAGCATCCATCACACACACACTGCACACCTCTCACACCCTACCCATCACACACAACACTCTCACACACATCACCCTCACACACAGCACTCTCACACATATCGTTCTCACACACAGCACTTTCACACACACACACAGCACTCTCACACACACATCACCCTCATACACACACACATCTCACTGTCACACACACATTATACTACAGCACCCCTCACACAAACACTGCATCCCTCACACACATACTGCATTTCCTATACACACACTCTCTACAGCCCCTACCCACACATCCATTACATTACACCACAAACACAACATGACTAAAACCAACCTTAATACACAATACCACACCACAATCAGCTCACTCTACACACACGCAATCCTACAAGCAGGCTCCAAACACATGCACAATACTCTCTCCCCGCCCTTTTGTCTTCTGGTATCCATTTATAAGGACACCAGAGACAAGTTGCAAGGAAACACAGTGCAAGCATGTTATTAAATTTGCTTGCACTGTGCAGAACAAATACTCTTTAGTAGAGCTCTGGGCATGGTCTGCCCTGGAAGAGCATTGAACCAACATGCTCACTTTGAGAGGGGGCGTGCTTGCATTGGTGATGACAAAACACACCCTCTCTGCCCCGCACCCTTCTTAGTGGGCCGCTGTGATTAAAAAGTGCCCGGGCTGAATTTTCTTCCAAGACCGGCCCTGCCCCCAGCACATCCCTATGTGTACTTAGTAAATGGCTGCCACCAGATGGCTTTTTTATTCCTATCCCATGGATCTGTTTCACCTGGATCCAACTACTTGAAATCATTCCAGTTGTTTTCTTGGCAGACCTCCAAATGTCTCACAGAGCAAAACCTTGAGACTTGATTAGGGCTTGGAACAGGGTATCTGAGAATTCAAAGTGAATTTCAAATTTGAGGTCAAGATACCTGAAATGGTCAAATAAAAGTGTAAAACTCTGCTTTCAGTTTGGCTGCTCTGGACTGAAATTTGAAATTCACTTTGAATCCTCAGGTTAGTAAATTACCCTGTTTATATTGCATGTCTTGGGTTATTTTCACATTTATCCCCAGTGATATCATAAATAATTATTTCATAATTTGAAATTTCATGTTGTTTCTATTTGTGGGGCTTTTTTTTCATTTTACAAATAGTGCAGATTTCAATAGAAATTGGCACTTTTATAAATTAACTTTATAACACTAACCTGTCTGCGAATTAGACAATTGGTCTTGTTACCTCCTGGTTTATTTACACTATAGGAACAAAAGTATTGAAAGTATTCAATCAGACCCATTGCCAAAGGGGGGAAAAATCAAGCACCTAGCCATGCAGCCCGCATTTACAAACATTTGTGAGTTTGAAGATGTCAGTGAATTAAAGCATGGTACTGTGATAGGATGCCACCTTTGCAATAAGTCAGTTTGTAAAATGTAATTCCTGATAGATATTCCACAGTCAACTGTAAGTGATATTATTGGAAAGTGGAAGAGCAGCCACTCAACCATGAATCGGAAGACCACGTAAAGTCACAGTATGCGGTCACTGAGTGCTGAGTCCGCATGGTGTGTAAAAGTCACCAACGCTCTGCTGATTCCATAGCTGAAGAGTTCCAAACTTCCACTGGCATTAATATCAGCACAAAAACTATGCAGCAAGAGCTTCATGGAATGGTTTTCCATGGCCGAGCAGCCGCATACAAGCTTCACATCACTGAGTACAATGTCAAGCGTCGGATCAAGTAGTGTAAAGTGCATCACCACTGGACTCTGTAGCAGTAGAAAAGTGTTCTGTGGAGTGACTATCTCAATGGAGATAAACGCAACCAACTTGCACCAATCCTCTGAGCCACTATTATTTTTTTATAATTTAATCTATTTGCTTTTAGCTGAGTGGCATCCTTTCACCTAGCTGCATATCACCATCTCCTTGTTTTTTATGTTTATACAACACCAATGGCTAATGCCAGGGCTGTAAGTCTCTAAGACCTATTGTTTCCAGTTTGCCAAACAGTTTGTTAATTCAGCTATTTCTGGCCTGACAGTCAGCTCCTTGAACACCGTGGCGTACTTAATTCAATACATATTTTGTATTTGTGCT